TATGTTCAGGTTCCTCAGGTGGTCATGAACCTGATCTTCTCTTACAATGGGAGGGACTTTGCTCCTCCAGTCCCTGTCTTGTGGTCCATCTGCTCTAGAGGTGTGGGAAGAGAGGTTGCCAGTGAAGACTGAGGCAAAAACATTGTTGAGTACCTCAGCCTTCTCCTCATCCGTTGTTACCAGTTTGTCAGTCTTGCTCATTTTGGGGGGGGGGGGTACACTTTCTTTGACGTTCCTTTTCTGGCTGACATACCTATAGAAGCCCTTCTTATTATTCTTTGCATCCCTTGCCAAGTTCAGCTCCATCCACACCTTGGCTTTCCTGACCCCATCCCTACACAATCGGGCAGCGTCCCTATACTCTTCCCAGGATACCTGTCCCTGCTTCCACTGCCTGTGCATTTACTTCTTGCCCTTTAGTTTGACCAGCAGGTCTTGACTCAGCCATGCCGGTCTCTTGCCTTCCTTTCCTGATTTCTTACACCTGGGGATCAAGAGCTCTTGCACTCTATGCAAAGCATCCTTAAAGATCTGCCAGCTCTGTTCTGTTCCCTTGTACCTGAGGGCAGTTTCCCAGGGGGTCCTATTGACTAATTCCTTGAGCAGCTGAAAGTTTGCTTTCCTAAAATTCAGGGTCCCGACTTTACTCTTCGCCTGACTCATATCCCTCAGGACTGTGAACTCCACCAGTGTGTGATCACTGCAGCCCAGGATGCCTCCAATCTTGACATCACCAATTAGCTCACTTGCACTGGTGACCATCAGGTTCAGTACTGCATCCCCTCTGGTAGGGCTATTACCTGGCTTAAGAAGTTATCTTCAGTGCACTCCAGGAGTCTCCTGGATTGCCTACAGCTTGCCGTGCTACTTTTCCAGGAAATGTCGGGGTGGTTGAAGTCCCCCAGCAGGACGAGAAGCTGTGAGTGCAATGCCTCCTGTAGCTGGAGTAAAAAGGCTTTGTCAATAGGCTCCTCTTGGTCGGGCAGCCTCTACAATACCCGGGGCAGCAGTGACCCCAGGCTTTGAAGATGCTGGCGTGGTCCAAAGCCCCCAGTAGGGAGGGAGGTCCTCGAAGGGCTCAGTGCTCGCTTCTCCAGTGACGTCTCCTCATACCACGCTTTTTTTCCTTTCTCTGCAGGAATGGGAAAAGAAGCAGACTTAAGCCGGGTGCGGGAACGCCTGCCAAGCCCCCACCGGACACTGGGGCTCATGGAGGATCTACAAGCCCCCTTTCTCCAAGGCGCCGGGAGGGTGCTGGGAAGGCATGGCGGGAGAGACGCCCTCCCACACCCCGCCACTGCGGCACCATCTGCCTCGTGGGCAACACTATAAACCATGGGGAAGGGGGCGGGAGGGGGATTTGGGAGGCGGGTGGGGAAGGGGAGTCCTTTGTGGATCAGGGTCGCATACTACTGGGAAACCCATCTCTGGGGGAGCCTCCCATGGGGCCAAGAGTTCGACGCGAGGTGTATGTGCCTGTGGTGGTGCATAAGGAAGGAGGGGAGAGCCCAGGGGCTGGCAGTCAGCACTGCCCAGCAGGCACTCCAATTTATCAGGATCAGCATGTGCCACACTGGGGACGCTGGAGGCCAGGCTAACGCTTTCCAAAGCGACCATGGACTCGTTGGGGATTTTTGGCTGCCTCAGTGTTGGGGTTCATGAGCTGCTCAGGAACGGACAGTTTGGAGACGCCGATCATTCGCCCTGCTCACTGCTCCCAGCTCTGCAGGGTCTCATCTCAGGGTTCCTCATGTCTCAAGCTTGCTGTGCCTCAACCAAGTGCCCTTGTCCAATATTTCCTTCTTGTCCTCCAGGCAGTAAGGGTGAAGGCACGCTGGCTTCCCTTGGGAATGAACAAAGCTCAAGTGTCAGCGTTTGAAAGCGAATTAACAGTGTACACCTTTCAACCTTGCTAAACAGCTTAGAAGTGCTATAAAGGGCTGAGGCTGGAGGCAGCCCAGCTCTCTCTGCCCTAGCCCCATGCCAGCTTTCGGGGGAGCAGGGAAAGGGAGGGGGGTTGTCTCCTGGCCAACAGCGCATTCACACTATTGCTGCTGCAGTCAGACACAGTTTGCCAAAGCATGTGGTCAAAATGGAGCGAAGGGAAGTTTAAAAATTAAAAAAAAAAAAGGTGCTTTCAAATAAGGGGACTGGAACAGAAAAGAGAAATAGAGGAAGGTCATTTAGCACAGGCAGAAACAAGGGACAGGAATAAAAAGGAAAGGCCCAGGCTTTTGTGCCGGGAACAAGGGAGCAGGCCTGTCGCCCACTCATGCTAACTGCCACAATTAACCTTTGGAGCTTGCTCTTTCAAAGCCCTCTTGTTAGTAACTAGGTAAGCAGCTTTTAATAAAAACACTGGCACTGGCATGCCCCTTCCCCTGGCTGTAGGGAGCACGGTGGGTAAACTCCTGCTCATAGTGAAATGGGCCAGGACAGGTCTGGGGTGGGCTCGGCATCCCTGCGGTAGCAGCTGTCGGGGCCGGCAGGCTGGGTGAATCTCATATGCCACGCTAGTGGCTGCAGTTAGCTCAGAACCATAAACTTAGCTGCCCGTTGCCCAGGCTGGAGGGGCTCCCCTTCTCCCAGGGATGAGGTGCAGGAAAGCCCCGTTCCTGACAGTACTCGTCCTCGGTAGCAGCTTCCCCATGCCGGTTGTCACTGCTTCTGTTGCCTCTGGAACGTGGAGCTGCACCATCCCATTTCACTTCGGAAATGGGTAAAAACCCTCTCCTCAAAGCATTGCCTCTCCCGCTAAAGAAATGAGGAGCCTGTGCCCACAGTGGGGAGAAATGGAGCTGGACCACCACAGCCTGTGAAAGCACGTCATAGAATCATAGAATGGTTTGGGTTGGAAGGGACCTTAAAGTTCATCTAGTTCCAACCCCCTGCCATGGGCAGGGACACCTTCCCCTACACCAGATTGCTCAAAGCCCCATCCAACCTGGCCTTGAACACTTCCAGGGATGGGGCATCCACAACTTATCTGGACAACCTGTTCCAGTGCCTCGCCACCCTCACAGTAAAGGATTTCTTCCTAATACCTAACCTAAATCTACCCTCTTCCCATTTAAAACCATTACCCCTCATCCTATCACTATACTTCCTGATAAAAGGTCCCTCCCCATCTTTCCTGTAGACCCCGTGGAGGTAGTCCTCGGTTAAGAGCCGCACTTGGCCAAGGCTTTGCAGTTTTTTTAATATTTATTCACCATGAGGTAAGAAACACCGTTTCCTCCACCCCAGGTCTGCCTGCTGGCCCAAGCCTCTCTCAGTCTGTATTGAGCAAGAGGTGAAACCTGTCGCGTTATTACCCCCTAAGCTGCGCAGCCAGAGGCGGCAGGAGCAGCGTGTCAAGCTCAAGCTCAAGCTCCAGCTTCAGCTCCA